GTCACGAATTAAATTAGACGAACAGGGTAATACCGTAAAAGTTGCAATGCTGACAGCGTGTACAATAAATTCCCGAGAAACTGTAATAACCGAACTGGGTAAGGATCCTGAGTTTGGAAGTATTTATGAGTATTTGAAGGATCCTGAAAATTTTAGCCACCAAGATATTGTGGCGATAAGAAATAGGGCGGCCCATTACGAACTAATAGATGGTCTATTATTTTATACAAAAACTACGAATTCCAACAACGAATTTCGACCTGTTATCCCAGCTAGTCTTAGATTAAATATCCTGCAAGAGCTCCATGACAGCCCTTTAGCTTCTCATGCTGGTATTCGAAAAACTACTCAACGCGTACGCGAGGCAGTCTACTTTCCTGAACTGCAAAAGTTAACAAGGGCGTATGTCCAGTCCTGCCCAACATGTCAAGCCGTTAATTATATTAATTTCCGCCCGGCCGGGTTTCTAAATAGTATTAAATCCGAATTTCCAAATGAAATAATCGGCATCGATTTATTGGGCCCTTTCCCAAAAAGTCAGTTAAACAAAAGTCGCTATCTCCTTGTTATAGTTGATCATTTTAGTAAATGGACCGAAATTGTTCCCTTAAAACGAGCCTCCGCGAAATTAGTTACCGATTCTATTTTAAATAAATATATTTTAAAATACGGGGCGCCCCTAAAAGTTATATCGGATAATGGTCCTCAATTTGTAAGTAATATATTTGAAGACATGTGCCAAAAACTGGGCATACGTCATTTAAAAATGGTCCCGTATCGGCCGCAATCAAATATAGCGGAACGGGTCAACAGAAATATAGTGAAAATTATCCGTAGTTATGTTAAAAATTTTCATAAAAGCTGGGATAACTATGTCAATGAATTTGCTTTCGCCCTTAGGACCGCAAAACATGATACAACGGGCAAAACTCCTGCTGAGTTATTTCTAGGCAGAAAGGTTATAACACCGTTAGATAAACTACGTATTTTATGTGCAACAAAGAGCCCCAGAATTTAAAATGGGTGATATAGAAAAACTAATAAAAGAAGCAAAAAAGAATACGGAAGTAGCACAAAGAAAACAAAAATTGTATTATGACTTGAAACGACGGGGAGTAACTTATAAAGTAGGGGATGAAGTAAGTTTAAAAATTAAGCATTCACTTTCTTCAGCACCAGAAGATAAAACTGCCAAATTTTTTCCACGCTTTGAAGGACCATATGTTATAGAAAAAATAACTCACGCTGTTGTAGTGTTAAAGGCAAGAAATGGTGAAACCTGTTCCGCAAACATTGACCAGAATAAAACCATTCTATGACCGTAATAAAATGCAAATCTTTTCAGATCTTTTGCAGGATCCGGTACGGCAGACACCGCAGGTACAAGTTCCAGAGGTGGGAAAACGACAAGTACAAGGGCAAGCCAATGAGAGACAGAAGCAAGTGAAAAGAAAATTGCCCCGCGGAAAAATTGAAGGTACAAAGAAAAAGAAGCCGTTCCACCACCGTCCAAAAAACAGAGTTCACGAACACCCCCAGAATGAAGAAGGGAGAAGGACGACGTATGTGGAAAAGACCGGGAGAAAGGACGGCAACTATAACCCGGCTGTGAAACGGAAGATTGACTCATCCGACAGAACTCTCCGCAGCAAAAGTCGCCGAACTGCGGAAGGGCCATCAGCGGCGGAGGAAAAAGTACAAGAAAAATTTGAACGGCCAACAACGAGGTCCAAGCAGGATCACGACAGAAGTTTCCCGGTTCCACCAAGACCAGCTGCCTTCAAACGGCCAAGACCACAAGCAGAGGACAAAAGGAAGATGTTCAAGGGTGGCCGTAGTGGTGAAAAACGGAAGCTTCCAGAGGAAAGCACTGAAGGGCGAGCCCGTACAAGAAGGAGGATCAACCAAGCTACGGTCTGCAGCACCTTTAAAGACTGGGCCCAGAAAAGGATGTCTGAATATTACAAAGATAAGTAAAATTTTATGTTACTTTTACAAACTTAAGTTAATCTTTCATTCTTACTGCAAGTGGCAGATTTCAAGAAGTTTTACCTCATGCGAGGTCTACCTTTATCGCCAAAAGGGCGAGAAATGAGTTGTGACCGATTTTCTTATTATGTTTTTCAATTACTCGCGCGTAAAACTAAAGTTGATGTATAATAGCGTTGTGTAAAGACTTAAATATTGTAAAAAGTTATTGTATAAATTTTATTTAAAACATTCTAGCAAGAAAGAAGTTTTAGTCTGAAAGACTTTTTGAAATGTAGTATTATTTCAATGTAGAAAGAATTGGCACTTGCTTTGAAAAGAATAGAAGTTAACAATGTACTACTAATGTATGTTTTCAAATGTGTAAAATTAACGGCATCTTGATATGTTCTTGTATACATGTGAACTGTTATTTTGAATGTTTAGAATACCGTGATATGGTAAAAGTGAAAGTAATGTTAAAAAAATTTGTTATTCGTGTGACTGTAAAGATTAAATCATGGTGAATATGTGTTAAAGGTTGAATGATGTAGTTAGGCTCTCTGACGCTACACTTTAGAGTTAGCCACTTTCAGAATAGTACCTCAGGGTCTAGAGTTGAAATTAGGGTGTGTTAAGAGGTCTCGTATGTTGAATTTTAACACGTTAGTGTTTTGATTGTAGGAGGAAGTGTTGAACACATAGACAGAAACACATTCGTGTTTGGTGTTTTTTACAACACATGTCAGAGAGCACGGGGAGAGATAATTAAAATAGTCATGAATGAAATAAGAATGTTAAGAAAAGTATATTCTATATGTTATTTGCAATGTCATTCTGTAACATTTCATTAAACTAGTTTTCCTTCCAGATCTCTGGAAGGAACCAGAATTGAATAAAGCTCCTGTTTTGATGCAGTACAGATGAAAAAGAAAAAAGATTGTTGTATATTCCGGGAGCTGCTATTGTAACAAATTTCTTTCTTTTAAATTTTCTAGTTTCTAGCTAAGTTATGATTGTTAAAAGGTTGGCCTCGCGTTAGTTTCTAGAGCTAAAAGTTTTCAACAAGGTCGTTTTAGACCTCAGTTTCAAACTAATTAACTCTGGCGGGAAGTATGTAAGGATCTTAAGTTTTACTAACGTTTATTTTATTTTAAATCTTTACTATCACTTCTTATTTTCTACTTCCGGCCAGAATTATAAGCGTGAAGGAGTTTATGCAAAGTTGTCTGGCGAACGCCAAGTATTTAAGTGTGGCCTTTTTGCCAAGCAGAAGAGAGGAAGCCGTGAGTTCGAAGCAGGCCGCTTACCTTAGAAGTTACGCAGTTGCTACTTTGCCTTCCAGGCCAGAGGTTTTAATCCTCTTGATAAATTAAACGTATTGTAGTGTTCACAGTCTCTGTGCTACATACGCTTCCTGTTATTATAAGGCCAATCTTATTCTAAAGTTAAATTAGAGTTTAGTTTTATTTTGATATCTTTTAAGTTAGACCCCGAGTGGAGGGTCATTGTATTCCGAAGTACGGAAGTCATTGTATATAAAGAAAAAAATAAAGGGTTTTGTATACCCTTCGTCTGTATCCTGTCTACTTACTACAATTAGTGAACATAGCTTTAGTAAGCTCTCTGTTCTAGTCAGGTCATTGTATGTTTCCGAAGAAGGCAAGAAGAAACATTGAACCTGATAATGTAGTCTACATATAATCATACATACTTTTGTTCTAAATATATTATCAAGAGAAAATAATTCAAGAGACAGTTATATATATTATGAAATGACAAACAGCTATGCAATTTCGAATGCGATTAATGGCAACAACTACCAGCGCTACCATACTGGCCCCGTATAAGCAAGCTGGCAATGTTCGTTTTCTACCATGCCTACAAACACAGATACGTCCATCATGATTTTATACGCACAATCAAGATTCATCTGAAAAGACAAAGTGATGCTACTTCTGTATCCAGTGTCTCCGGCATGCCTGTCTCTGACACAGCGTCAAGGGAAGCAGCAAAAATCGTCGCCGTCCTGACAAGTAATGGTGCTCCAGACATCGTCGCACAGTTCGTACACACATTTATCGTTCTCTGCAAGAGCCAGGTTCCTGATTCAGGGTACGTAGCCTGCCTATTCGATCTCGCAAAGCCAAGTGCATGCCATACTTGTCCCTCGAAAATTTGAGGCAAGCGGTCGGTGGAATACTGTAGGAAATTCAGTATGGTTCTATTGAGATTAACGATACCATATTCAGTCATGAGATCTCTATTAACAGGAGCTGCAGTGTCAGAGAATGATAAACAATAATCTTCATAGGTCACGATTCTGCCTCGTTCGAATTCCAATAGGTACTGTTAGGAGTTTATCCAACAATAAGAACAAGAGTTTTACCTCTTTACGAGGCATGACAGAACCTTTAAGGAAACAGGCTACATTCAAATGCAATTTCCAAGTGAGAAACCTTATGCAATCTTCTCATTTATGTACCAGATAGATTGCCTGACTGATACCTGATCTGCATGTGCTTGAATGTTAATCATTTGTGCATGTCGTAGTGCCTTTGATGCAAATTTGATGTTTGTTGCGTGCCGCTTTCACGGTGTGGCAATTTTAATGGCCAGCAGTCTGTTTAGCAGAAACATTTATGCCTTCGTTTTGTGTATGATAGATTTACGGAAGATAAAACTTTTAATTTAGATGTATTTTTCTCTGGCTTGGCCAAAATATAATTAATATAGATAATATAATTAATTCCAGGTACTTAGACTTCTGCTGACTAGAATTTTAAATATTTATCGAGTCTCCGTAACTGGAATTACATTACATATTTAATTTACAGATCCTTTGCAAAAATTTGATATCCGACCCCACCTCTTAAAACAATAGTTTCAAACTTGACAATGCATGGCGAGAAATATTTAGTAAATATAATTACAAATTGACTGAATTTTTCTGTTTGAATCATACGTTTTGTAAGCAAATTACATTCTCGTATAAGCATTGTTCTTAGAAGAAAACTCTAAAACGTACTTACGCGATTACTTCACACTTTGGTCTGTCTACTGGTTGTAGTGATGAGTTCTGTATGGCTGTCTCCAAGACCATGCTTGGCTGTTCTTGCGATGACTTTCGTAGGGGAATATTCCTGAAGTAATGTGGGCTGGAGAGAGAGCTCTTGTGAAAGGGGTGGTGTAGGAGGTGTATTCTGAAGCAGAGCTACCCCTGATGCAGTCTGTGTATTTAAAACAAATAATGCAATATTCAATATTTATATTAGCCTACTATAATTTGAAAAAACAATAGTTTCAATAACAATAATTTCGGTACTTCCCAATTTGTAACGTACCCTCATAAATGTGGCATATTTAATGTAACTAGGATCAAAATTGTTGTTATAGTATATGATTTTTAGACGCGCCATTTTGGCCAATTAAAAATTGTTCGAAGGTGGATCCAAAAAGGTTACAAGCATCAGCATTTAAAAATTATTATTGTGGAGGGAATAATTTATTCGCATACTGTAGACAGATGACACCAGTTGTCCTGAAGAGATTATGCAGGTAGGTAGAGTAAGTTCGTAGAGACGTCAGAGCAATTGAAATAGCAAACCATTTAGATACGTGGTCTCACTTGGAGGTGCGAGCCGTGACTCGTTTCCTGAGAGAGATCTAGAGCTTGGCCATACCGTTACTACTGATCGTTATTGTGCCACTTAGAGAAGGTTACATGAAGCCATCCGACCCAAACGCCCTGGAATCTTGACTGATAGTGTCAATCTCCTGCATGGCAATGCTCGGCACCATACTGCTTACCAAACTCAAACATTGCTACAAATGTTTAATTGAGAAGTCTGGAGTCAACACCATATAGCTCAGGTTTAGCACCCAGTGACTATTTTCCATTTCCGAAATTGAAGGAACATTTGTCTGGAGTGCGATTCTCTTCAGATAATGATGTGAAAATAGTCATCGAGAACTAGCTCGATGGGCAGAGATGTGATTTCTACAAAGCCGGGTTAAACAAGTTGGTCCTGCGTCCATATAAATGCTTGGAATTGGTGATTTTGTGAGCAAATGATAGGCAAGTATGCCTCCTAATTCTGTTTTGTATTTTCTGTCTATTTTTAATAAATAATTTTTATTACTCTTTTAACTTTATTTTTGGATCCATCCTCGTATAACCTTTAATAATAAAAATAAATGACTACGGAACAAATAAACAAAAACTAAAAATATGACTACGGAATAAATAAACAAGCATTGAAAATCATTTTATAGTAAGAGATGCGATACACGTTTTGGAAACATTTACTGTATTTACGTATACCACTACAGATATTAACAAAGAAATATTACTCACTAGTGCGCTTCTAGAATAATCAGGAGAGAGAATCCCTGGCCCTCCATCAACAGAAGATGTCCTCCAATGAAGACCATCCCCACAAAGGTCATCATCGTCTTCTACTGCTCCTTCTTTCAAAGGCGCTATGAAGCCAACAGAAAATCAAATTAACGACACTGCTGCAAGAAATAATTTACATTGATTCTAAAATAAATTTATTTCTTACATTTTTCTACTTATGATTCTGGCCAAACTCTGGATCTATTGACTTGCATTGCTGGTACATTTCTGTTAATAGAATTATATGCGCATGCCGAAGTTGTGTGCAATGCAAATTTGTACAACTCTCAATTTGTTTTTAGCGAAAAGAGATCTATGTGTACATAGCAGGAACAAGAGTTAACACACGCCACCCAACCGGGATAGTGGTTATCGAGCTGATTGCCGTGCATGAATATTTGTAAATGTATAGTGTCTGTACGACATGGGGGCAATATAAATATGCAGTGAGCCGAAAGTCCTCTCGAGAGTTTGATGGTAAAGGAAGAGGGGTGCAAAACCCTCGGACCCCTCCCTCCGGGGTGCTCTCTGTCAAAATAGGTGCAGAACTGCCACCTATATCCTGTTCAAGACTATTGCCAACAACAAGCGCAATGTTGCCTCCTTGCCACGATGAATTCCATAGGCTTGTTCTGACGTTACTGTCAGACAAGTGAGATAAGTCACAGCAACAACAATAACAGAGTTAATACTTTAAACGGTACACATATAATATTCATTATATATAAAATAGTTTTTTTTATTCATGTAGCTTTGTCTGTCTTTAGGAACGTCGCCATTTTGTTAGATTCCGCACCAACAATTATGACTGGCGCTTAGTGGCGCCCCGTCAACAGAAAACTACCGCATGATTTATAACATACATCTCAGCAAATACTCTTATGTTTAATGTTGTTCCAAATGTCCAACTGCGGTATGATAGCTTCCCCGCAAGGCGGGTTTAGGGTTGTCAGAAAATGGCAATTGAAGGAAGGGCTGCCGTATCTGGCGAGAATCGCTCATTTGGCGGGATTTGGCTACAAAACTGGCGATATGCCATAGAAGGATGGAGAACCTTTTAGAAAGAATTCTTACCGATTTTGTCCAGAACGTTCTCTTAAGGCAGCCCAAAAGTTATATAAACATTATCTGCGCGTAGTTGCAATGTCTAGTTTAGACTGAGTGTAAAGTCAGCCAGTGAGATTCAGTCAGGGAGAGTCTAGTTTAGTCAGTCAGTCAATGTCTCGTTTATCGAGTTGATCGCGAGTTAATGCCTCGTCGAATTTTATGTTGAGTGTGTTGAGCTTCGAGGACGACCGAACCGAGTCAGTAGCTGTACTCTAGTGCTTATTGTCGAGTGTATCGCGAATTTTAGCGTGGAGAGTCTCTAGAGTACTTAGCTTTCTGAGAACGACTGGACCGAGTCGGGATCTGTACTCTGGTGCTTTGCTGTGAAACTGTCTCCACCGTAACTTGAAGGCTGTGACTGCTGATTGTTTCAGCGTCCTTTCCAACGACTGTAAACGTGTTTTTGGAGATGTCCTGAGTAATACTGGCTAATAAATTGTGTTTTCATTCTTGATGAAGTGTTGCCGTCAATCATTCCAAATCCACTAGCACGTGCAAAAACCCAATAAGGTATCTAATATACGAGCTATATACGCTAAACATACAAAGCAAAAGGACCTTTTGTCTCAGCGTTTTTAGATCATTGAGTCTGTTTGACTGTCACTTACTTCTGAACTTCAGAGTTTGAAGTTCTCTCTAATTATGTCTGGAAATAAAGTAGTGCCTGTGCTTGAATCGTAAAATATAATTCAAGGATTTGCAGTACAGACAATATTCATTATTGATAGTAATACTCGATTTCAGCCGCATTAGCATTTATGCAAACTTTCCCATGTTAGTCAAATATTCCCCGCAGGTTACTTCTCTTTCATTTAAAAGATAAGCTCTGATTGCACGCAAGGTAGTTTAAATACATATGGGAAGTTTCCCATTTAAATTGCAATTGTAAACTAAAGGCAAATGTTGCAGACAAATATCGATTATCGAAACTCTTTATAATTAATGAAGAAAGCTCGCATTTAATAGACACGTGTGGTAGGCAAATATTGATTGCATTAGAAAAGTTACATAATTAATAAGGTGATCTGTCTTTTAAATATCATTTACATGAACAGCAATAATTATGCATTAACTGCATGTTACTTATATGTAAGATGAATGTTTTCACTTTAGAACTTTGTGCGCTCGTAATTAATTAGGTAAACTAAAAGTCATATGTAAAAACCTTATGACTTAAATCTTTTAGTTTTTTAATAATTTGTAGAGTCCCTTACTCTTTTTGTCTAAGATGAACGTCGAGGAACTCAGTGAACTGTATAGCGACTTATCGCTGAGTTCAAACAACTAAAACATAGACTCGAGAAATGTTAAAATACCCCTTATTTCACTCAAAATAAGAATAACAGTCGGCCCCTTCTCGGGCTTACAAGAAGCCTCTACTCGGGCTTGAAATCAGAATAAGAATTTAGGAACTAAACTATAATTAACTGAAGGAGATTTAGCCGAATCTAAACACAAGTATCTAACGTAGATGCCCTTAAATTAAATTAGCGGCGAATATCAATAGAGTGTCTTAACCCTAAGGCAAACAGACACTACTGAGGATTCTTAGCACTCTTTATCAAAGTAAGTCGAACCTTCCTTAAATACGTCTTCTAGCTCATTTGCACTAAATGAGCTTCTAAAAACTCAGTTTGATAGAGAGTTGTAAATGGAAACAAGAATTATTAATATAAAAGGCCTTTAAAATTTGAATAACTGTTATAGTCTTTCATTATTTGTTCAGGCATTAAGGTAAAAGTCTTAATACTGTATCCGAGATGTCACACGAGTACGTATATTCGGGGTATAGATTTAATTTTCAAAACTATGTACAACGAAAGATGTTGCTAATGTGATTGTAGTTAATATATTTTATCATAATTTCTTTTGCATTAATAACTGTAATATTTGAGTTCGCTTTCACAAGTGGCCAAGCGGTAAAGTTACTGATATATTAAACTGAGATCACGTGTAAGCAAAGGCTGGCTGAAAGGGTACCCACTTGTGTAACCTAGATATGAGGACATTTCGAAAAGTAAAGATACAATGACTCATATTCCTTAAAAAAAAAAAAAAAAAAAATAGAAAACATCAGTTACATCTTATTAACTGGATTATTTATTATTTTTCGACATAATCACCCCCGTTATCCATACATTTGTTAAGTCGGTGCACAAGCTTTTGTATCCCACAGTCATAGAAGGTTGCCGCCTGTTGGAACCCAGCGCGCTCACAATTTCCTGTACCCTAACTTGACAGTCACAACTTTATAAAGAGTTGTCATTGACACTTCCGTTATGATCTGATGCAATTCTTTCAATTTGAGACGTCTATTCGCACGAATTGCTTCCTCTGTTCTCTGAAGAAGAGCATCAGAGATCACAGATAGCCGACCTGTTCTTTATTCGTCATGAACATCGGTCCTACCTTCAGAGAAATGACGACACCATTTCGTTATTTTTTGTCAATTCCTAATGTTCCCATAAACAGAAACAGTTTCTTTGTGAATATCCGCTGGTCGCTGACCTTTTGCATGAAGAAAACGTATGACAGAGCGCACTTCGCATTTGGCGGGATTCTGAAGCGGCGCAGCCATTTTAAACACGACCTACTCCAACCAGAATTAACTTTGCAACGCCGAACGACAGCGAGGAGAAAGCTAACGGTTCAAGGTTAACACCTGTGTTGCCAACTTGCTCACCAAAACTTTTATTTTCCTCTGGCGTACGGTGTACTTTACTTCGACGAAATGCCCTCGTACGAAAATGCCCTCGTACAAGTCATTTTCCTTTAAGAAGATCCTCCACGAAAGTTCCTTAGAAAGGAACTCATTTCTAACGGCTTGGCACTTGCCGGTTTAACATTCAATGGGGAATGACAGAACTCATAATTCATTCCACATTCTTATTACTGAGAGCACTTGCTTAAAATGCTCCACAGGGGGTGTCGATATTACATGGGAGGTAAGAGATTTTTTATATCATTTTCATATTGATATTCATTTTACCATTTTTACATATCATGTGTATATTTCATTTATATTATTCTGAGATTGCGACTACTGGTATGCACCGCCTTCTTTTACAGCATAAGAGATGACGTAAGCATAAGAGAATAAGAGAACTCAGCATAAGAGAGTTCGTACTAGTCGATTACTAGGGTTATTTCCACTTATTACTACACTTTTCGAGCCAGTAACGCTTCTAAACAAACGACTTTGTTTCTTACTGTGAATGTATTACATAAAAGTGTAATGTAATGTAATAGACGAGACTGCTGAAACCTTGCTTATACGCCTTGCTTATAATCGACCACATGGTTAACGCAGCCCGTTCATCCCAGACAAACAAAAATACAGTTAAAAATTAAAACAGAAATACAGTCAAAAACATCAACGCAAAATTCCCAGTATTGTTCTGTTGTCATTTATAAAGTTCATCAAAGCCTTTGCAAATCTAAGCTCTTTATTGCGGCAGCAGAATTCCTTTATGTTACTATGATTTTCCCTAACATAAGGTGTATAGTTAAGTATTAACTTAAAGGTGCATAATTGCTTTTTGTTGAGGGCTGAAAGGCCGATATATAAAATCGTTTAACACTGGTAGTTCGACCTGGTTTCGATTCCGGGCGAACGCCTGGCTGCAGGAGCATTTTCATGATTTTCCTTACGTGTAACTTAGCTGCAAGCCAGTTTCCCTCAAAAGACCTCCAAGAAGGCATCCCTTCTTTAGGCTTTCCAAATTTTGCCGTAAACAGACAAGCCAAACAAATATTCGACTGCTTTCATTAAGAAGCTCATTATACGTTGTTAAACAAGCATTTGCTAAGAAACTTTATGTTTTTTTTTTGTGATTTTATCTCATTTGGTTGATAGTAACATCAGAATAAGCCCATGAATTTCATCGTTACAAGGAGTGCAAGATTTCGCCTGTCGTTGGCAAGAGCCTTGAGCATTGTCTGGTGGGAGGCAGTATGACTTTACTCAGTTCCGACCTCAAGTTTGATGGAGAGCACCCCGGGGATGAGGGTCCGAGGGTCTTCATTCCCTCTTTCTTTCCCTACCACTAATCTCCCGAGAAGACTTTCGGCCCGCCGCCGCATATTTAGCGTACCTCTATGCCGCACAGACACTATACAAGTATCCACGCCTTCTCTGAGATTTGAACTCGGGCCCTTTGGTAAGCCAGTCAGCGTTACTAGCCACTATCCTGGTTGCACAGCAAGAAACTTTATTGTACAGGTGAAAGAATACAGGTATTTTATTATTATTTAGAAGTTGTAAAATAAATATTTCAGTGTGGTATGCTAATATATTTTTTATCTAATGCTTAATTAAATCTAATTGTTAAAAATTACATTTTTATCACTCTGGCTTACCAGGTATGATGTCAGGGCATTTTTCCTCTCCTGCACAGCTACAGGACTTCCATTCATCATCAGTATCTTTCCTCAGTGGAGTTTGACATCTGAAATCAGATAAAAACAAAAGGTTACTTATTTGACATAAAAGTAGTAAAAGTCTTCCTTGATTTACTATACTTCAGATGTTCTTTCTAATAAGAGTTTCACACGCTATACATTAATTACTAAAAATAACTTGCTATATTATCAAACATTAAAAATTTAAATGCTTTAGTTGTCATTATTAATAGGTTTTTATTAAAAATTATTGGCGTCATTTTTAATTTAGCATTAGATTGCTCATCAAGTTCTGTAATGAAATCTACCTTTATACACGAGTAAATAGCAAGCATGACTGAAGAATTTCACCGAACCAATGATTAGATGTGTAAATTGTTACTTTATTGTTTAAAAACAGTTAATCAGAGCTTAGTTAGACAGTGTCATTCAACTTCAGTAATTACATATAGGTTGTTAATTTTAGTGAAGAAAGTTTTTTTTTTTGTAGAAATGTTCGAGATTATTAATATGTGTATCTCAATTAACAGCAATGTTCCTTTAGGAAAGGGTTTCTTAAACTGTGGGCTGCGACTCCCACCTGCAACAGGGGGGGACACTCTTTTTTACAAAACGAATTGCAAAACTCATTTAAAATTGATTCAAAAGAGATTTTTGAGTGGGGTCTGTACGTATGTATCTCGCACAACTCAAAAAACGAGTAACCTCAGAACGTTAAAATTTTGTATACTGGACTGTTATACCATGTAGTTGTGCGTCTTTTTTTTTGGCTGTGATCCAGAGGTATATAAATAAATATACGTATATACGTATATATGTATACGTGTATGTCCGAAATATCTTCCAAATACTCTTATTTCTGACTTACACCGGTAAATGTCGACATTCACCATGTACTAATGGTGAATGTTGAACATATAAGAACAGTATATTTTCTTCTCTGTAATTCAGTCACGAAAAAACGCACTTGAGATTTAAAATAAGAACTTAAGAAAATAAGAACTTAAAGCACACAGTTCATTCAAAATGAGAAAGGAAAATAATAGAAGTTAAAAACTTATTTATTCATACAGTACGTTTTAAATGAAAAAATAAAATAATAGTAATAAATAACTTTCTAAATTATGTGATTCAAATCTTATTTATTGCATCAACTTGAACTATTATGACACTTTATGACCTCTCTTTTCGACCTACACCAGAGCATATCTGTGATTGTCGACATACACCGGTCCGAATGTACAAGAATGTAATGCAACATTCCATCTCTCACCGACGTATTTGTTGAATGTTGACATTCTCCGGTGAAAGTCGACATTCTCCAATTTCGGTCTTTCACGGTAACATATGTACAGGTACTAGGTTCAGTGAGCTCAGTATTTTGATTCATATATATGTGGGTAAATTGCGCATTTTCCCTTTAAGAATGATTGAATTATGTTGTTCTTATCTTCCGGTTAAGGTTTTTTATGTCTTTAGTTAATCTGCATGCAATATTTGTAGACTTATCAACAATTTAAAAGTTGTTTAATTGCAACTAAGCGTATTTTTCTTTACTCTAACAGCCATATGTATTTATATGTGAAACGGCAAAATAGTGAATTAGAATTTTCTGCATCTTCAGTGTCTTTTTGCCGAGTAGGATCAAAAAGAAACTTTTAGTTTTGTGTGCACCGAAAAATCTGCCGTTTTGCCTGCTTGGCTGAAATGCTTGTTTTGCATAGAAACTGTAATTTGAATTTTAAAAATGTTTTTTTAATTGTTTTAACTGTATATGGTGTTATATGTTTTTCTATATCTTTCAAATTTTAATGAAAATATTTTAAGTTTTTATGTATTTTTGTCTTGCCGCGAAGTGAGAATTGAATTGAACGAAAGATATATCTGTAATGAAATTCGAGGAAATAAGTTTAAATGAAGTGCAGGAAAAAATGCGTATAATTTAATATTCCGTATAAGGAAGTCGCGTGGTGTGCACATCAGCTTTTTAAAATTATTTTGAAAAGTGAGAGAGAGAACAGCTCAAATAAATGGTTCTTAACTCCTTTATTTTGTTCATTGTTCCTCTTCAGATGATAGAACATCGTTATTTCACGTCTTCTTAGACTTTCATTTTCTATTTTTTATTTTTTTTTAATTCAGATGATGCATTGTAAATAATTTAAACCAACATACAATCAAAAATATTTTACTCTAATTTATCATAAATATGCATATAGATTTCATTTTTAAAATTTACCATATGTCCAAATATATTAGAATGATTTTAAAATATATAGATGCTGTGAACATATGCTTTTTAAAATTAAGAAACCAAATACAAAACGCCTCGAGTTCCACGAAGTATTTCACGAACGAAATATTATTAACTTACAGATGTAAGTTAATAACTAATAGTACAAAGAGATACAATTCAACAATAAAAACATAATATCTAGGTTTAGAGAAAGCAAAGAAAAATATAAAATGCAAATGCTATTATAATAAAAATGGTTAAATATACCATGAATAATTAAATTATGTTAATACTCTTATAAAAGAAAATAAAACAACTTAATAATACGATAATAATAAAATGAAATAATACTTATAAATAATACGGTTATAAAGAAAAAAAAATATACATAAACAATACCATATATCAATACATAATCAACCATATATCAACGTACCATATATCAACGTACCATACTATATATCAACGTAATCATACATAGATAATACGCAAAATGATACAATGACATATAAAAGATCTAATCAAATCATATAAATAAAAATATTAAAATTTCAAACAACAATTGAAGTCGTGCAAGAATGTAAAGGCTTCGGAGCTCCTAACAAGATCGTAGAAAACAAGAGGCCAGAAAATACAAAGCTGCCCTAAACTCACTTTAAATGCACTTCTGGCACTCGCATGTAACCAATAAATAATGAAATAAAGTAATACAATGTAATAAAGTAATAGTAAAAATGTAATAAGGTAATAATAATGTAATAAAGTAATAGAAATGTAATAAAGTAATACAATGTAATAAAGTAATAATAATGTAATAAAGTAATAATAATAATGTAATAAAGTAATACAATGTAATAAAGTAATAATAATAATGTAATAAAGTAATACAATGTAATAAAGTAATACAATGTAATAAAGTAATAATAATGAAATAAAGTAATAATGCAATACAATGTAATAATATCTTCCACAGCATCGCCGAAAAAACGGAATATTTCGAATGTTGCAAAGGTGTAAACTTTAATGTTGAAAACTAAATAATCTGCGAATTCAAAGGACCGTTGCATAATGCTCAGTGCCAATTGTAAACAGAGTGATTAATGCTGATTTGAATCTTAAAAAGGCGAAAAAACGTTATATGCATCGTCTTTCTCCACTACTTCTCATCGAAAGCAGAACACGCTGCAGAATTCTCTATGAGAAACAAGTATTCGGATAAAAGTAGAAAAATATTTCAAGATATGTATCTTGATATTTAAATGACCGCAATAAAAGAAATTCATTTATTATCATCATCGAGAAGAAAATGTCTTGAAACACGGTACAAAGAATCTAAAGAAAGTTTTTTTTAAAGGAGTTTATCAATAACTGTTGCTGGTTTTCGATATACGAGTAACAGCAATGAAAAGTTAAGAAGAGTTCAGAAAACTGTTAGTGTCAGCTCTATATGTTATTCAGAATATATTTTATACCCAGTTGTCAGGTATAAAATACCTCTTTACCTATAGTGTAATCAATTATTAGAACTGCATCAATACAAAACAAGCAGTCTCACGTTAAAAACCCAATGTTAATGTTCTGGAAAAAGTGGAACAAGAAGCATGTATCAAGGCCATGACCTTCACTCATGTCCCTACTAAACCACTTGTGAAATTGAAATTCTCTGTTGCTTTCAGTAGCTGAGTTTCTAGTTGTGGTTGACATTCAGAACCGCTTTTTCTTTGGATTTGTGTTTCAGAAAATGATTTATCTGTATTTTGTTGGAACTGGGATATTACACACCCCACGCGCCTGTCCGCGTAAGTGTTTTTCTGACTGAATATTTAGTTCAGAAATTTATTTCTAGAGTAAACAGTAAATATTTCTACTCGCAAGCGATTTTAAAGTACTTGACATTAAATTCTTAAAAATTTCTACTCGCAAGCGATTTTAAAGTACTTGACATTAAATTCTTAAAAATTTCTAACTGCATTATGGTAAAAAGAATGGCTCCCTATGAATTGGAGATGCAACGCCTGTGAGATTTATTAGAAATATTTGAAAGCGATGAAGATTGCATTTCGGAAACTGAAGATGAAACTAGGAATATTTTCTACACAGTTTTGGTTTCGAAAAAAATAAAACATAATTATCTGATGTTCCTAACAAAGGAATAACTGTTTTTATGCTTTCAACATTATATAAAGATCATACTATAGATCATAATATTGGAGAAAATAAAACTTCAGGAATTATATGTTTTTATATGACTAAAGGAGCAGTGGATATGGGGAATGAAATGTCAGCCAATTATTCATATACCAAATAACAAGAAGGTGGCCAGTGGTAATTTTCTTTCCTGTACTGAACGTTGCTGTAATAAATACTTGAATTATATTACATTCAACTGCTAATTCACCAACCAGAAACCGAAGTCTGTTTTTGAAGGACTTAGCATTACAATTAGTGAAAAAAAGTATTAAACAACGATCAGAGATTAATTCTTTACCAAGAAACTGACGTACTGCATGCAAAGCAAAAGCAGAAGTTTCGACGAAGAATTAAAACGAATACATGAAATTCGAAACAACTAAGTATGGAAGATGTGATAATTTTTTGTACTAGGGCCAAGGACAGAAGAACGTGATTGCAATGTTTAAAATGGGAAAACATTCTGTGCCAAGAACACATGAATGTATTTCGTTCAAAGTGTGAAGAAATAAAATAAGCATGGTGTATTAGAGATGCAATGAAACTTAGAGGCATGATGTTAATTTTTTTGTTATTTTCATTTATCTTAATTTTAAATCTAAGATTATTTTGGAAATTAATTTTTTGAAACCCAATTATTATTCGCATAGTTATAATACACGAGAACAAGAAAAACAGCTTTAAAACTAAATAAAACTATTTTTATCGTATTTTAAATATTGGGGTATGTGATACCCCACACGCTCGCTCTAGTAACTTTTCTTGGTGCGACTTCCGCCGGGTTAAAAAGCGAATTGTCCAGTCATCAACTTACAACCCTGCTTGGACTTATGTTCAAGAGGGATGGGATAAAATAGCTTTTTCGATGCTAAAAAAACGGCTTTATAGTCTTTGAAACTACGCTTAGAAACATAGTGAAGCTATAAGGGTAATCAAATGGAGCATTTAAAACACAAAAGCTTTAGGTTATATGTTTTTGTAAATACAATAAAAATCGTCTAAAACATGTGTGACCAGCCTCTGAAATTCTTAGTAGCATCGTATCTTTATGTATACTTCTAGTATTATTCATCAAAACAGTTTCCTGTGATCAAAGCTAGCAAAGCATATTTTTGAATGCGTGAAAAAGAACAATATCTTTACATAAATTTATATTTATTATGTAAATCGAGAAGACGTGTATGAGGTATGAACATTTACAGACATTATAAGTGCATCCATAGTAAAATTATGCATCGAATGCCCTTAAAGTACAAGTAAAAATATAAAACATTGTTATTAGATTTTATTAACGTCACAAATTAATCTGAAATTAAGGTCTTTCACATTTTCAAATATCATGAGCTACTAATGAAATATTTCAATCGCAAAGAAATTCCTTCTTTGGAATGGATTTTTACACTCTGAATGGAAAAGGAATGAAATTAAATTAGAAATTTCATTTTCTTACATCATCTTTGGAGCTCATTATCGAACAACGCAAATAAAAACAAGAAAACTGCCAGAAAAAATTTGCATTTTATTGAATATGGCAGGCAGTTTTCCTCCAAACAATATCATATTATTTTAACAAGAAAAATTAAGTTTTTAATAAAAAAATCCCTTTTTATAAAATATGTTATGAAATAATAACTTACTTATCGTCCTTTGATGCGTCTTGATTAGCTAAGCAAAGAGAAAAGAAAAATAAAATGCTTATTAAATTTCACTTTTACTGGAAGTATACGAATACAAATTATTAAATATAATTGATTATTTTTTTTCAAGATAATGTTGTTCAAATGATAATATAACAGAAAATGTGTCGTAGATTATTGGTTCACACAGATCGTTGACCAAAGCAATGGTTCACACGTTGCAGAAAGCTGAATAAAGTCACAAGAATTTCTCAGAATTATGTTACAGTTATATATCTTTACGGCTTATGCGATTATTTTACCAAACTTGAAAATTATTTTCTCTGTTGTAATTATTTTTAATATTGTTTGAAAACGTTTGCTTCGACATCCTGCTTCTAAGACACAAGATTAAATTTGTTAAATAAAATTAATTATAACATCATCCAGATAATTTTTACGCTTTTAATTGATTTTTTCTTCTCTGTCGTAAAGTCATAACAAAACAAACACGCCAAATAATAAAATTTAAGGACGCTGTAGCAACACGTATAAGCGTAATATGCGTGCAATTGTAAAATTGTAGGATTATATAGGGTGGGTATCATAAAAGTGACCCTATTCAGATCCCCGTAGAACCCGTTCTGCCTACCGGATTTTGATGAAATTTGGTGTATACGTTATATGGACTATGAGGAAAAAGATTTCGGCAATAAAAAAATAGTTCAAATTTTTACCAGCAGATGGCAGTTTTCAAAAATTCCTTACGCAAACTAGTCAAACCTATAAAAAGACTTGACAGTAAGAGCCAGAATATTATTCTGCTTTTATCATCGTTAATCATTCCCTTAGAGAAGAAAGATCGAGCTTTACTGGTAAAACTGTTTTATCAGAACGGCAGCAATATCTTAATTGCATTGCATGAATTAAAAGATATTGCGAGAAAGGCCCATGTCGAGGAATGGTTTGAAGAAGATGATTATGAAATGTTTTTATTGTAGAAATCGTTTCCCCGTGTTCCACATAACATATGCCAAATTTCATCAAAATTCAATAAATAGAACAGGTTCTAGAGAGGTCTGAATAGGGTCACTTTAATTATAACCACCCTGTAGTTTCGAAGGTTAAATAGAGCCTCCTTCTTCAACTACAAGAGTGAAAATGATCTTCGGCCAATATGCACTCACGTGTCACCTGACACTAACAGACAGAATATTAGAGAAAGTTCAGCCTCTACTGATTCTACTCTGTTATACTCTGTGAAGAGCTTGTAGGGTTTATATTTATTTTAACTAACATTTATTTTAAGCTATCTTTCCTGTCAAGCCTTTACTTTCCCCTGGAATTGCCAATGCCAGAGTATGTAAATTTTAGTAGAACGAGCAGAGTATTCAAATTTTTAGCACAAGTAATTGAGTTTAAATAGAAGGGAAGCGAGATTGTAAGTGTGCTTCTTGAATCACGAGCGGGAAGGTTGCTTGGTAGAAAGTTTAAGAACCGCGCGTTTCGGCCTGTGTGCCTATTTCGACAGTTCGTTGAATCTTTCAAATTCTTAATCAGAAAGTTTGCTGAATCTCAGCTGTATGTTAGAACGCTGTTAAGATAGTTACGATTATAGAGCCTCGTAGATAGTGACTTCGTTAGTTATTCATCCTGTCATGTATTCTTAGTTGTACTTTTCTATTTTTGTTTAACCGCCGGGTCGGCATAGTTTCTGAGCGTCGAGTGAACGCAACTGTGATTTCTAAAGTGAAATAAAAAGGGAGTTAAAACCTTCTTAAGAGTCTGTGTAATTTCCAGTTCATAGCAGTCACTACTACTATTGCTGAAAAGTTGGGGGCCTCCCAACATCAGAAGCTGAACGAAGATTTTTGTGGAATTTTCCAGAGCTGTGAAGTGTTCCTATTCAATAAAATAAACTTTATCAAGCTATAGTCATCTTTTACAGCAACATATTGCTACGAAATGCTCAGCCGCGGTAAGACAGCTTCCCCGCAAAGTGGGTTTAAGGTTGCCAGAAAATGGCAATAATGGTTGCCATACTTGGCGCGAAACCGCCCATTTGGTGAGATAATTGGGGAAATTCAGTACACTAATGAAAAACATTCTGGGACGAATTCTTACCGGTGTGGCCCAGAATGTTCTCGAAGGCAGGACAAAAAGCTATATAAACCCTGCTTGTACGCGATGTAGCAGTCTATCGAGTGTCTCGTCAGTGGATCGTGAAGTGCATCGACAGTGGGCATCGCTGAGTCTAGTCAGCCGAGCTAGTATCCGTCTAGTATCTAGTGTCGAGTTGGTCGTCGATAGTATCGCGAATTGGTGCATCGAGAGTGTGCGTCGTTGGAATATCGAGTGCATCGCGAGTTGTAGTGTAGTCTCGAGTGCATCTCGAGAGTACGTAGAGTTACGAGAACGAGCAAACCGAGTCGGGAGCTGCAATGTAGTGCTTTGTCGTGAAGCTGGGTTCAACGTTATAGCCTGTTAGCCTGAAGGCTATGTGGCTGATTGTTTCAGCGTGTTTATAGTAGTTTTTCAACGTCTGTGAACGTGTTTTTGGAGCTATCCTGAGTAATAATGGCTAAATAAATTCTGTGTCACTTCATCAAGTGTTGTCGTTAATCACAATCACATGAAATCCACGAACCGTAAGGAACGCAACAATATATATATCGTAATATGGTTTGTTTGCGTGTACCGAGACTATAAAAATTGCAAAAGGTTGCTGTACTTTCAGCTGCTCTTTGTCAGTACATGAGTACAAATTATACTATCGAATATATGAATTTTATTCCGATTTTCATATATTTTGAGTACAAATTATAGTATCGAATTTATCCATTTTATTTCGATTTTCATATATTTTGAGTACATATTATTTTAAGTACAAATAATTCATATACAAGGTTATCCAAATTAAACTTCCCCAACTCAGAGGCCTGTGCAGAGTGTTGTATGGGTCATAATGTGATGAAATTTTAAAAAACAGACACTTAAGGTCATGCGCTCGAGATTTATTACACAAAAAAAATTAGTACAAGAAGTTGCCAATAGGTGGCGCTGTAACACTAGTAATGTGCATATTGCAGCAGCGTGATTTGCAGAAATAAAGCTTCTGCGCAACGTATCCAAAAGACGAGCCCTACAAAAGTGGAAGACAGGCCTTGCACAGGCAGTTGTTTCCAGCTCGCTGATGCACAATGGCGACTTTGAAAGACAAAGCTAAAAGTGAACTTAGTGAAACTTTTCTACCAGAATGAAGAGAACTCCTGTGCTGCGATAAGAGCATTCCGTCGGCTGAAGATCTTACGCCGAAGACCAATGACACCACGCGCTCTACGAGACATGATGAAGAAGTTCGAAAGAACGGGACAGCTGGGAATTTTACCAGGTAGAGGACGACAGGTTGTGGAATCTGCACGCGTAGAAGACGTTGCTTTGGCGGTCGTGGACCCCACTAGCCAATCGCCACATGGTGTTGTCAGTGTGCCAACTGTTTCTCGTGCTGTTGATATGCCCTATACGACCGTCTGGCGTGTGATGCGTCGAATCCTCGGTTATTTTCCTTACAAAATCCATAGTCGTCATCAGCTGTCCGACGGGGATCCTGTAGTTCGGGAAACATTTGCGTTGCACTTCCTTGCCAGAATGGAAGTCGATGCTGCTTGGCCTTAGAACATCCTTTGGACGGATGAGGCCCATTTTCACCTGAATGGTCAAGTGAATACGCACAACTGCCGCATTTGGGCAAGTGAAACCCCGCGCGCAATCCATCAAGTGCCCTTGAACCCTCCAAAGGTTACTGCATGGTGCGGTTTCACTGCAACATTCGTCATTGGGCCTTATTTTCTTGAAGAGGTGACTCCAACAGGGTTCAAAACCTGCTTTGTCACAGGAAAAATGTATCAGAACATCTTGACAACGTTTGTGATCCCTGTACTGCAACAAGTGGCCGCCTCCAGGACACGATATTTATGCAGGATTGTGCACCTCCCCATATTTTTCGTGGCGTTCAACAGGTGTTACGGGCAACTTTTACCGAAGCACGTGTGATCAGCCGCTGTTTCCCTACAGCTTGGCCTCCCCGCTCGCCTGATTTCACGCCATGCGACTTTTGGTTATGGGGATTCTTAAAGGATCGGGTCTACCAAGAACACCCAGCGACCTTGGCACATCTGAAAGACGCAATTATTCGACATGTTCGTGGAATTCATGTGGACTTTCGTTCGTTGTGGAACGCTGTGGGACACACTGCTTTGCGAATGGAAAGAGCTGTGGAGAACCACGGCACACATATAGAACATTTGTAGAATGTCTTCTTGATCTGCAGCGCCACCTATCGGCAACTTCTTGTACTAATTTTTTTGTTTAATAAATTTCGAGCGCATGATCTGAAGTGTCTGTTTTTAAAATTTCTTCACATTATGACCCATACAACACTGTGCACAGGCCTCTGAGTTGGGGAAGTTTAATTTGGATAAACTATGTCGGAAAAATAAGATTACAGAGGCAAGTCCATTTAACATTGAGTACATGGGTATCTCGGTCATTGGCGAGATATCGCCAAGATGGCAACGGTTCTGACGTTTATTTTGTTGCCATATATGACAAAAAATCACTAAAAGTCGCCAAACTTGGCGATCATTTGCGAAATTTTGGTCCGGTCCTTGTATCACCGTAATACGTATTGTAACTGAATAAATGCAATTGATTACTGTATTATTTGCAACAGTAATTCGACACTCATATTGCCTTCCAGTAATTTCGAGAAGCAGAAAGTACTATAAATATCTCCGCTGGTGGTTGAAAACTATATAAAGCCGGAGAGAGAGTATTCGCTCTCAGTTGCTTAATTGTTATTGTTGTGAGTTTTTAGTTCAGCGTGAACTGAAATACCACACCAGGTTAGCTTTTTCTTTAGATGCGCTTTACACTGCGTTGTGTTTAAAGTTATCAGTTGAAGTGTAACTACTGATTGCGTTCTCTGATACTGTGAACACCTATACGAATATTTCTGTGAAAAATTCTAGAACTTTGAAGTGTTTATTT